GCCGTGTATGATGGGGAGGGGGGTTATCTATAAGCCACAGTTAGAACAATGAGGTGTCATCGCAATAGTTTCCAATGTTGGCTTTGAGAAGTCGACCGCTCAAGCGGCAATCGTAACGTCAATGGGCATCTGCCAGGCGCTGGTGATCTACAAGTTATCCCTAGCCAGCATGGCATTTGTGGTCGAGAGATTTATTCGTCATCCAGTGAATGATCTTGTCAATGCAGCTGAGACAAATAGGAAAGCCCCAGTCATTTTTCTCATGGTAGTGTCAATTCGATTCACAGAGGCCGAGAGATGATTAGTCGAGTTTGCCGATGTCTTGGATTGGACATGGCCGAACACTTCTGCGCGAGTTCTGAGATACTTCAATTGCTGTCTCGATGAGATCAGGTTAGTTTCTGATATGTCAAATACATAAGGAGCACGTGGTGATGATCTGCAAGGCCCTCGAGATAAGTGGAATTTCCTCATTTCCGGAGTCCCAGGGCAACCAAAAAGAAAACATCTTTGTCCATAAATACAAAACACATAGGACACGTAGTCAAGACACCAGGAAACAAGGCAGAAGGATTGCAGCAGTTGATGACCACAGATCCACAAGAAATAGAAACAAACCGAACAAGAAAAACACCGCCGAGCTATGCAAACACCGTGTCAGATGCCATCTGACGTTTTCCCGAACGCCAAACCAGAGACACCGAAGGTTTAGATAGAGAGCACCAGAAGATTATTCTGGGCTAAAGCAAAGACAAGAAGAAAATGATATGCAGAGAAAATTTGCTTTCAGCGGAAGGCGTAAGAAGGGCGAACCATTTTCGATACTTCTGGATTCAGAGAGAGCTGCTGGTAAGGCGAGCTTCCTGGGTCATAGTACAGGCCTTCGATGTGTCCGTCCTCACGGCGAAGAGAAATGTAGTAGAATCCGGAAATAGTAAGACCTTGACGAGCATCCGTTGGGGTGACGAAGCATCGCTCTACGGCATGTTAGCAAAAAATAAAAAGATACATGATCTTTCGCTACTTACCCTTCCATCTCATCAAGATCCATCCTTGAGACAATTCCTCGGTAATCCATTTCCGATTCACAAGATTCCGGGCCATCTCAGCATCTGTCAGATCCTTAAACGGCTGCAGTTCACGCCAGTATGTGCTATCAATGTCTGCATCTGCCTTGAAGTTCTTTGTCGCCAGCGTGTGATTGTTGAAATCGATGATCTCGCCCTCCAAGAAAGTCACAATGTGTGCATCGTGGGTGGGCGAGGTCTTATCGGGGATGTTGTAGGCCTCCATAGTGCCAGATAATGTCATGTCCTCGTGGTTGATCTGGTGTATCGTGACCTTGACAGGCCAATTTTCATCACGATTGTTAGCTAAGTATCGGCGGCCACTTGTAGTAGAAACGCTGATTCGTGCGCTCTCACTTCCATTTACAATGACAGGCTCACTGGGGGCGTTCGGACTAGCAATACGCTGCGACAATATTGAACACCCGGCACTTGCAGCTCTTTGGCAGCCTGAAAAGGCCATTCCAGATCGGAGCCATGAACACTCCGCGGGTGGTGCAATGTTGCGAGTGTACATAATGAAGTTCGCGTTTCTCCAAGACTTGCTATCCATCGAGAAGGGTATCCGACTGTCCACCAAGACACGCATACTATCTTCGAGAGAGTTTGAATGCCGAATGCGCTCGAGATAGTGGATGGTCTCCCCTAACACGTTGCGCATATTTGTGTCCGAGTGTAGCTGGCGATGAGCGGCAGCCCGAGCGCGTAGGTCGTTGTGGGTGAGGTTGGTATTATGTGGGTCCCCGCGCGTCGTGGGACGGTAGCGGTATCCCCGAGATGCGACCGCTGTTGTATTTTCAGCGTCCTCCTCTGGAGTGATATCTGAATAGCGATCGATGATGTAGTTCTCCAGTGTGCGACTCCTCGAAAGCCGGGGCTGACGCCTTGCAGATTGTAACAAAGCCGCCACTGCGGAGATCGATGTCCGAGCCTGGTTACTACGCGGTAACGTTGCAGAATCATGCGGTATCAGTTGCGCAGGGCCCGGGGCCTCATTGCGCGGAGGTCGTGCGGAGGGTGGGTCACGACTTGAGATGGAACTGAGGAAAGGCTGCATCTGATCGTCTTCCGACTCTTCGCGCGCAGTACCATCCTCATCATCAGAGCCGGGTGCCCATCCATACAACGACCGTGAGTTGGGCATTCGGCCCTCGTAGTTCGGCATGTCGGTTGATCTCTCCTGGTGGCGGACAATAGGGATGCGACGATTGAGTTCAACAGACGCGCGCGGGTTGGTGGGATCATCCACCTCCATGCGGTCTTCGTTTTGTGGTGGTGGATTAGTCGGATAACGACGGCGACGTTGTCGGCTCAGGGAGGGTAATAGCGGATTGAAGAGAGCTGGTCGCGATCGCAGGAAGTTCACGTTGTCATCGTGAGCATTATCGGTCTCCACAGGGGCAGGTGTGGGAATTGACGATCGGCGCGGAGGGTCAGGTGCCGCGGTCGTCGGGGAGAGTGGCGTGCCGTACTAAAAGATATTAGTTCACAAATTATACTACGGTGGGTTGCAAGGATAAAACATACTGGGTTAGGAGGCGGCATTCTGATCAGAATGCGCCGTCAAGGGGTGTGCAGGATCGACGTTGGCCATGCAAGGCCAAGAGACCAATATATGTGTAGCAACAAACAATTAAGTCCGGGGAAAGATGTCCACGAATCGCCTGAGAAAGTGTCGGATGTTGTGCTTCTAGGACTTTGGGGATGTGGAGAGGCCCGCAACGTATGACGTTCTTCCTTTCAACCGGCTCAGGGCCTCTGGAAGAATCCGTGGACTTCATTGAACTTCATATGGATTCCAAGTTGATTTTTACGTATTCTTATTGAATTTTATATACCTGAAAGTCAAATCCCCTGAAAGCCAAGAACGTGGAGCCCCCTGTCCTGCAAAACAAACATACCAAAATGGTGTGATCTATATAGGCCATTCAAACCCCTTTAAATGAAGAACAAGCTTACATCGCTTGCCATATCCCAGGCGATTAAACCTGAAAGGCTCTCCATGTTGGCAACCCGATTCTTCATTTAAAGGGAAATTGCGTTTAGGGGGCATTAGTTACCTCCTATTAGATTGCCTGTCGGGTTGTCCACGGGCCAAATAAAGGCTTTGATAATCAATGCATATGGTCATGACTCATGTATCTAGGTACTAAGAACAAAGAATGAATAGATTTCTCGGAGTACAGCTTGTGACTATTTGGAGGGCAAATCCTGTTCTATAGTCTCCATCAAGATATTGTCCTAAACAGTGTAGCTCTATGTGCAATTGAAGATCTAAATCACAGTCTAAATATTAACCAGAACCCTGAAAGGATTCACAGACCATCTAAAATGTTGCAAATCAGACCACGCGTGCAGCATTGCAATCATCGGCCAGCTGGACACATTGTAGGACCATGTTCCAGAAAGCATCTAGATCAACACCCCTGGGAATAGCAACACCCGGACCATCAACAGGAGTAGCGATCGAGCGCCCCAGTTGACCTGTAATAGATACATCTTTCCCGTGCTTTCCATCGGTGACAATACTCAAAGCAAAACGCTCGCCGCCTTTGTCATCAAAAGCGAGAGTTTGATTGGGGTGCACGTTGGCAAAGGCTGGATTCAGCGTCGACAGGATCGCGGCCACAGCAAGGGGATCATGCAATGGAGGCCCGGTGGTCAAACCAAAAGTTTTCTCGTATGTGGCAGCAAAGAAAGTGAGTAGCGCGTGCAATATCTGCCGAAGGATAGTAGGATCCTCGGCCGAGTGGATCGAGCCATACAAGATGCGCGTTTGAACAGCCTGTGTGGCCAAGACCTGATGTGTGAGATCTAAAGCCATAATAGCTGTCTTGGAAGCAAGAACTGGGTTGCTAAAGATTGACTCAGCAGACTCTGGGTCACACTATAATACCATCGTGATTAGACGAGCTAGAGAAGGATGAAAGGTTTTGCGAACGTACATAGAAGTTGAACTCAGCCCATGGGGTCACATTTCCGATCCTAGCCTTCTCACCAGGTAGTCTACTCATGGGGGCATCGGTGAATCCTCCACCAATGGCACCACCCATAATGCTCAGCCCTTGGATGTGTTCAGCTACCTCGGGGAATGTGGCAAACAACAGTGCGGCGTTGGTCAATGTACCCGTTGCAACCAGCCAAGGAGTTCCTTTGGGCTGTGCAAGGAGAGCATCTCTCATGGCCACAATGGCGTTCTTATCGGTGATGGGTGCTCTAGTGGCCTTGGGAAGAAGGTCAGTCCCATCAAGACCGGACTCGCCTGGAAAGTGTTATTAAAACATTCTGCTCCCAATATCAGCATCACTAACCGTGAATATCGGGCGCATGAAGAGCAGGCCGTGAAAATGGCTTATTGCTACCAGGATAGACGGGAATGTCAGGCTTTCCGATCGCTTCCAAGACGCTGCCGGCATTGGCGGTTGTCTTCTCTAATGATGCATTTCCATGGACAGTACTGATTCCAAGAAGCTTCAAATATGGGTGATGAGCGGCGATCAAAATTGCAAAAGCATCCTGTATCGTATTAACACATGTCTCTCTAGAATTTCTTTGATGCTTACATCGTGGCCTAAGAACAGTCAGTAATAAGAAGGCGGAAGGAACATGATAGACTGACCAGGATCGCAATCCAACCACAAGGGAGTAGGACTATATTGATTGACTTGGTCTAACATGGTGGATACCTTAGAGCAACAAATGGAATTGAGAATCAAGAGGCCACTTGGGCACTTAAGTACATTTGGCCGGACATAAACAGATCCCCGCATCAAAGGAGGGAGATAAGGCTTATCTTGAAGCCCTAAGCCCTATGGTCCCAATTGGGTCGATACAAATTATCAACGCTTCTAATGTCGACCTTACTGCTTTTAACAGAGAACGCTTTTTTTCCTTGATATGTATTGAACCAACTCTAAACATCTGTGCGATGAAATGAATGATCCGCTCCGCCCCGGCCTTCAGCCGATATCTCATCTTAAGGCTGGGCCGACAACCTCCAGCTCCAGATCCACCGCGCTGCCTTCCCCAACGACGCTTCAGCCTCCTTCGCGTCCTTCATCTCGACTCCGTACACAAAGAGATACTGGCAAGGATGACCTGGACTCCGTTAGTGACAAGGCCACCACCGCTCTAATCCGACGCGTTCTATGCCCCCAGACAAGCAGCCACGGAGCATCTTCCCCACAGCCTCCGGAAGAGCTGTTACCTCCCCTCACGAGCTCCAATGACGTTGATCGTCAACTCTACGCCCTTCTCGCCATCATAATAAAAGAATTTGTTTACTCGTGGTACTCGAAGATCACCCCCGATCAGGCTCTTGTGAATGAGGTTCTACAAGTAATCGCGCATTGCACGCGTGCACTCGAGCAGAGGCTGCGCCAAATCGACGTTGCACAATTAGCCCTGGATGAGATCCCTAGCCTGGTGGAAGCACATGTAATCTGTGAGACTTGACCGTTCTAAAGTCCTTCTTGTCGGAATCCATAGTTGTTCCGAGAAACATTGCTGACTATGATCTTCCAGCATACAGACTGGCCAGGCAACAGTCACATCTTTCTGGTCTACCGACATCATACCGTACAATCTATCATGAGCTAAATCCACACCCTGGTCTTTCTCCAGTACCTGATCCAGGAGATCCAGATACAATTGTCGAGCAGACAGACAACGAAGCGGTCTATCGCCGACTACTCGCCAACGGTATCCTAGCAGTTCTTCTTCCAACGGAAGATCTCGAGAACAGCAGTCTCCGAGCGCTTGTGGTTGATATCATAGCAGACCTCATTCTAGGAAACCAAGTCAGTGGCAGGGCATGTGAAGGATGGTTCATTTGGGAAACTATGGGCAAACTCGCCGCTCAAGTGGGACACCGTCAAAACCAAGATGACACAAAATCTGCCCCGGACGCTGGAATCAATCGACTAGAAAAATTCGGCTTGCTTTCAACCGAAGATGAGCAGCTCCTGGACCAGCCATCGGCGTCGTTCTCGGCCACTGCTTGGATATGGAACCTTCTGCAGACGGTTTATCTTGGTTACGTCGTCTTGCGTTTCATTGCGATAGGTTTATTTCGTGTTGCATCGAGTCCAGGCCCTTCTTCGCACGGTGTTGGTGTTTCACCTGCCTTACCCATCAACCAAAAAAGAGATGGGATGGAGTCGTCCGATGGCATCACAAGTAGGCGGCCGGTTCTCGACTACCGGATGTATGCCATGATTTCGCAGATACTGGGACTCTCATGGAGAATGCCATGGCTGAGCGGATTGCTTGCCCTGTCCCAATACCTTATTTTAGCAGGCCAAGGCAGGGTCGGTGCTACGGACGGAATCTTAGATAGGTAAGTTCTTGTTCTATTTTCTTTTTTTTTTATCTCAGTCTGCTGCTTCTCTGCAACCCCTCAACGCCCCAACACTCCTCGAGGGCTCAGGCCTTGGGAATCAAAGACTGTGGAGCAACGGTACGATCTCCGAAACGCAATCTACGGGTCAAGTGTCACTTGTGCGAGTCAAGGTGGGACATGAAGCCTCTTGCTCGCATGCTGCGTCGGTCACTTGATCTGTAACCTTGGAAGGCTGCAATTACCCGTGCGAGGGATTACGGTCATCTTACGACCTTACGTGATCTCCTTACTGTACGGTCATTACCGTCAGTCTTACCAGGCTGTTCTGGCATCGGATTGGTTGCCCTCAAATTGGCCCGAGCGACCTGAATTTGTCAATCAGGGATGTCTGTGGGCTGCCCGCGGATGCCCCGTCTCTGAATCTCCTTTGAGACAGAAAAATCCTTTGTCTGTGATAGCGCCGGGGCCCGGCCCTTTCCGTACCGCTCGTCCACTTTTTGTGTTGGAAATCTTGACGATTCCAACATCTGCCAACTTTCAAAGCGCTTGGTTTACCAAACAAAGAAATGACATCGCATCTTGGCAAGAATCGTGCACCAGCAAAAAAGAGAAAGAAAATGCAAAAAGGAAAATGGGGCCGATCACCCATCGGTGAAAGTGAACTAAGGCCTCTTTTGGCGCAAAAAGAAAAAAAGAAACAGCCCCAGTCGAGGCTAGTGAATTACTAGCTTCGGTCCAATGAGCGAATTTCCTGTCGGGAAGGATTGGAATTCGTAATCTGACCGAGGTTAGTGCATGAAGCCCGCTTGTGCTCCAGGTACGGAGAACGCTGCCGGAATGTTACCCGCTGAAGAGGTCTTTTTCTCTTTGACGTGCGAGAAAATGATATCCCAGTCCTTGTCCTGGCCCAAGCTCCTTCATCTCTGCCTGGGCCGATCATGCTCCGCCTCACCCCCACTCTATACGGCCAATCCTGATTTGATGGCAACTTCGACTTTTCCTTAACTAAACATGCGCAAGAAGGGGAAAAAGCCACAACGTCCCGGAGAGCTCCACAGTCGAGATTCTTTCTTCACTTTTTTTTCAATTAATTTATTGTCTTTTTTGGGAATTTGCCCAATTGCTCCGACGTCATGACTTGAGAGAGACCTTTGCTAACTGCTACAGATTCCTCCGGGAGACTATCGAGGAGTACGTGCTGACCCCCACTTTGTTGCCCAACCTTCTTATTGTAACAAGGACCGCCTTGTTCCCGGCCAATACCCGTCCAATATCTCAGATAGCGGCCGGGAATATTGAAGCTCCGTCCTCGGCTCTACAGTCTGTGCAGACCCCGACGCCCATTCAGCAAGCCTTCGCACCCACGGCCTCAAATACTCCTATTGTGGAAGGACTCAGGGGCCCTGATGCCGGTGTCATTAATAAAACCAATAATGCGGGTAACAGCAGCAACGGCGGCAATAATGGGAGGGGTACCTCAACATCCACCTCAGGCCGCCCATCGTCACTTTCTGCCATTGCAGCCGATGTCCCAACACCATCAGAGCTAAATGACCCGGCCGAAACCGTAAAAAGGAACGGCCCATCTAGGACGGAGATCGCCGCTATCAAGCGACGATGTGCAGCTAGTCTCCTGGCCGTGATCCCGCGCTCCGTCGTACGAACCTTCCTTGGTGTTCCCTCGTCGGCGCCTCCACCGCATTGCAGTAGTGATAGTACCTGCAGCACCAACAGTTTGCCCCATCTCGTTACGTCGTCCCCACCAACTCCCCCAAGGGCGCCCCATGAATCTTTCCAGGAGGGGAAGGAAAATCTGGCGCCGTCGCATTCGCATTTGCCTTCGGACCCCTGTCTAGTTGCATGTGGTCACCTTGCCGCTGAGCGGCTGCGCACAGACGATGATCCGTCTGCGGGGATTGATCGCGAGGAATTACATTTCCTAGACACAATCGAGAAAGATTTTCTAGACCTCTTTGCAGATGAGTACTGCAATAAACATCTAGTCTGGAGCATTATCGAGACAGTGCTGGCCAAGGTACTCCCTGAAATGGCTGAGCGCAGTGTTGAAGATTTACTGGAGGATCGTGGGGTAGCGTCAGTGCCGCCTGCATTTGTATAGAGTACATATAGTTTACGGCTTTGTTATTATCAGCAGACCTTAATTGATGAGATATGCCTTATGACTAGCATAACTTCCAAACTCAAAAATAGTGTGATTGTAGAAAGATATCGGGGGTATAATAGAGAAAATTAATCTGACATGGTTCATATATAGGCGAACCAGAAAATTTCATGTCCTTTCCGCGTGAGCAGCCCAGTTTTTAAAAAAAAGAAAGGGAAGAAAATCGATATGAAAAGAGCGTAAGAAAGAGATTCAGTACAATGTACTCCGTAGGGGGTCAAGGAAAACAGAATGCTAGAGAAAACAAATGACAGGGGGGAATATAGAAAACCAACAGCAAAAGAAAAAAAGCAAAAAACCCGAAGAAGAAAGCAAGCGGTAAAACTCCCGAGTCCAAGTCCAAGGCCGATGATACCATCACAAATTGCCATTTGTCCATTATTCCATATGCATCGTCCAGACTGGGAATACCAGGGTATGTGTGCGCCTATAAAATCCATCACCCAAAGAAGTTCCAAAGGAAAGTAGAGGTCGCCCTCTGGATATGTGTATGTTTTTGTTTGGTTGCCCAGGTTTTATATCTCGTTGCCATCGCGGACTAGAGAAATAAGAAATGGATATAAAGAAAGGTTCCGTACAAGTGACCAAAAAAAAGAATAACAGAATAGCAAAAGCACTAGATGAAGGAAAGGAAGAAGAGAATGGGGAATCACGAATCAAAGTAAAGCAGATAATGTTAGGGAGGGAAGGAGGGAATGCTTCAAGAAGAAATGAAACTAGCAGTGCACAAAGAGAGTGGGGGAATAATCATAAAAAAGGAGACAAGGAATGCAAAATCCAACTTGCGCAAGGACTCATCCCAAATTGTGGATGCTCCGCTTCTTCGTCACACGCGGGATATGAATATCCTCATGTTCATCAATGCGCGGCAAGCCACTCAACAGAAAGCCAGCCTGGCTCCTGGCAAGCTCAAGCCTCTCCATTAGCTTTCCGATGGTCATGTACTCCTGTGCCGCCAGACCAGCAGGCTGATGGTCGAAGTAGTTGATGACGAGTTCAAGGGCGCGACGGGCCTCGTCCTGCGTCGGTGATCCCGGAGAGCTGACGGGCGAGATGGTGGTAGACTTTGACCGCGGCGGCATGTACTTGGTCGTGATCTCAGGGTTGCTGCGATTGCGCTTGATGACGTTTGTCTGGCGGACCGGGAACATGGCGGGCTTGGAGTCGTCCATTTCCAGTGGGGATTGCAGGGTGGAGACCGTAAGAGATTGCTGGAGTTCGCGCTTTTGGCGATGCGGGTCTGTGGTGTCATCGGCTGATAGGAGGGTTGGATCAATGGGGACGGGAGGGGAGGTCTGGCTGCGCAGCCGGTTGGTGTCGCTGTTGGTGAACGGGAGACGGGATTGGCTCGTTGGTGTTGTTGGGCTGACCATACCCGCCGAAGAAGTGTCGAGTGAGGTTGTGCTGTTGGAATACCCGTGTTGGTATCCCCCTGTCAGATCGGGCAGTTCAGCCATGTCGTGTTTGTTTCTTTCTTGGCTCGTTGGGGACAATGGGGATCCAAAGCTATCAACGGAGGATGTGGGCGAGTGGCTGCCGGGGCTTCGAAGAGCAGACCCGAAGTCTGTATTGAGCTGAATTGGGCTGTTTGAACCGCTACGAATTCCGGTAGATCCTCTGCGCATCTTTGCGCCGAGGAGATTGTTCTTCTGCTTGAATTTTTCTAGCCAGGCTGCAGTGGAGACTTTTTCCTTGCCTTCAGGGCAGCCGCAGATACTGGCGAAGAAAAGTGCTTTCTCTTTGATCATCTCATCGCTTAGGGGGTGTCCTTGGCTGTGGAGGTTCTTTGCCCAGTTGGATAGAGCTCTCTCAATATCAGGGACTCTGCCCTTGGCCCGTTTGATGGGAGATCGACTCCCATCTTCGGGGTTTAGGTACTTTTCCTTCTGGCGAAGGACTTTGGAAACAGTGCTGTGTATGTTAGATTGAATCAAATAAAAAGCGAGGTTGAAATGATACCTTCTCTCGACTCCAAACAACGCTGCACATCAAAGTCAACCTAGTTCCTGAACACAGACAAAAGAGATAATGCTTACCTCCAATATCAGTCTGCTTCGCAGTCTTGTTTTCCTCATGATATATACACATTTGCCGGCGATCATCGTCGGTAAGTGTCCTGCGCGGCGTAGTCCCTCCAGTGGAGGTCTTTCGCACCGGACACATGGTAGCCGAAGGTGACACCGATGTCGGGGTGGTAGAAGCAGGTAATCCAGACGCAACAAACGGAGAGTGTGTCGTGAGCATGCTAGGCCAGGAATGCGAAGGCATGGGTAGTGGCATGGAGGCGTAGGGCGGCGGAACTGACATGCCATACGAGTCCACAGCCATGAGCTGCGATGGGCCGTAGTCGAACCCACTATATTCGTGCATGGGGGGCGAGTGCTGAGGAGAAGCAAATGAGCCTATCTCCACCCATGGCGAATGGGGGAATTCGCTCTCTGGCTCATGATGAGTCTCCGTTTCCATGGCGGGCTCCTCCATGGACAATGGATCTCAAGAACAATGGAGGTAGGGCTTTTTTTGGTGGGGTTTTGGTTTTCGTGATAGGCTCGAATCGGGAGGAAATCAAAGAAAGAGAGACAAACGAGATCTCGGGAAACAATGAAACAATCTAAGTGTGAGACAATAAAAGCTGATGCATGTTCCACTGCTTCCGTAGACCTATATAGAATTGCTCTGATAGAGAGTATTGTCCCGAGAAGGTAGCTCTATAGACCACCTAAGTGAGATAGAAGGGAAGTGTATAAAGTATACAATATGCAAGAAGGTAAAAGAGCATGCGAGTAAGGCAATGGGGGTTAAAAGGAAAATTCCTTGGACGATCATATCGCGTGGATTTGACAGAACGACAGTGAATATCAATTGCAACTGGCACGAGAAAGACCACCGGAGAAAGCCATGATAACCTTCCCCCCGAGAGTTATCCAGCGAACCGGTTGGTGATTGGTCAATACAGTGAAAAGGTCCAACCAAAATAATAAAAAAATATATAAAAAAATATAAGAATAGCCAGAATAATATCTCGGTTTTAATATTTGCGCAATTTCAAAATCATCCCTGTAAATAGAGGGGGAACGGCGTCTGGTTGGTTGGCCGTGCGATATATTGCGGCAGGGGTTGCATCTCGTCAGGCCCAATGCGTCTGGCGTATTACGGTGTAAAGGTATGGAAATCTTCGTTCTCAGGGCTAACGCGGTTTATTCTTGTTTTTTTTTGGGATTTGTGGGATCTTTTTTTTCTTCTTTTCATTCTCCCGTATGACCTTCCAACCAGGATGGCAGACTCGACGGTACCGAGTACATATGTATGTTATATACTAGCAATATAACCTGGCGCTAGCTCGTGTTGGAAAATAGAGATGCAACAGCGCGAAACCTTGACCAATGTCTGAATATCTAGTTAGTCCCTCGCTGTGGCTGGCCGTTGTCGGCCTCGCCTTGACGAGGCTGAGGGTCTCATCTCAAGAAACTTGGGTTAAATCAGGGTTGATCATCCGGAGAAGGACGGGGTTCGTTCAAAGGGTAGCCCAATTTGTAGCTCGATTTGCTGGGAGCCGGGTAGCGGATCGTTGAACCGCTCAACCTAAAGCCCGCTTGACATCCATGCACATCGCATGCGAGAACGGCGATCAGAGTGGACCGGGAAGAGGATAGCGGCAGGCAAACTATTGATTCTGCTTCCGTGAAAAGAGTCTTCATTGGGAATATCTTCATTTTGGCCAAAAAGCAAACCGTTGAATCGGAGACTCAACATTCAAATTCCTGTCCCTATAGGGTATATTGCGAGGCAAGGTTCCGACTGTGGAGGTGACCAAACCGGATCCGAGGGTCTTAATCTCCAGTAAACACAAATCATAAGGTGAAGTAGACCGAGAGAGAGAGCAAATCCACACGGAATAGATTGCACGGATTGAACAGAGTCCATACAACGAGGGAAATATTACCAGACTGGGGCAAAATTATGTGGGCAGGCGGATCCTAACCTTGGGAGTTCGGAATATCGACCGCATCAGACATCCACGAGAGCTGACCCGGCTAGAAATGAGCAAGTGAGCAATAGGCCGATCGTTGGATGGACGAATCTGCTGTCTCCGTTGCCATGCTGTTGATACGACGGGGTTCATCCAATACAAGGGCTGAACAGCAGGTTGGATAGTTGTCCAATCACCGGGCGTAGAAGGCATCTCTTGGCTGTGAAAAAGAGGGGAACCTCTCCCCCATTTGCCATGCGGTTTTGGCGCTAAAATCCAGACAGAACTTGTGCCCTCGTCTTTCTCCACTACGACCCACTGCGGTCCCCTCCGGCCCGGGAACCTTCACCATTTCTTTGCATCTTGCATGTTGAACATTGTCCAATTGGGAAGGTAAGGGCTAGAAACAGAGAGCAGATATAGACTATAGAGAGTATAGAGAATATAGCAGTTGGGGAAGGAGTGTAGTTGACTATCAAGGTGGTACCAAGGACCGTAGGACGGCGGGCTTCTACAACATATAATACGCTCTACTATAGAACAGGTATTCTCATTTGAGCGGTCTAGGTAGATGGATACTACCCAAATATCCAGCAAGACCCCGCTTGTTCGACTTAACCACGAGGAAGCCGAATGTGAAATCAGCCTGCTTTATTTGGGCACTTGGAAGGATTCGTTCTCGAAACCTGCCGGGATGGAATGCGTCTGGAAGACAGATAATGAAGCAAAAGCAAAGCAAAGGTGACTAGGGAGGTCTGACAAATTAATCCCAACACTGGAGAGGACTTCAATTGGTACGGAGTACTCTCGCTTATTTGGTCGCAGTACCAATCATTATGCTTGCTGCCGTCGGATTCTTTGCTTTGCACCAGTTAAATGAGCGGAAACAAAAGAAATGTGTGACAAAATTTAAAAGATTTTAATTCTACCACGGATTTTAATTAGACGGAAATCGCGTCGCTAGTAATAATCGGGTTTCAAGAGAAATTCGGGGTAGATCCAGCTGGCCTGACGCCATTGGAGAGGTTTTCGATCTTTTTAGGGCAAGGGCATTACTCTTCATTATTTCCACGACTATGTCGGAGAAGGAGCAGGAACAAGTCTAGACCGGTCAACATTGAAATCCTCAGGCCAATCCGTATCTTTGCTTCTTGCAATTGGATCTGTCATTCTTGGCTGTCATTTCCAAGTGGCTGTCATTTTCAAGCTTCGGGGAGAAGTTATCTGTTACCCTCGGGGTACACAACCGTAGGGTAACAAGGGTCAGTGTTACTTGAGTCAGGTACCGATGGATATACCTGTTGCAATTCTAATTCTGCCCGAGATATCTCCGGAAAGTCGAATTGTGCAAAATTAATAGAACTGTGTATAGAAAATCAATGGTGGATATAGGGGAATATGGCATAGATAAATACTACTCTCGCTTGAGGTATGTGAGTAACACACACTAGTAGCTAGCAAGATACTTTGTACTCCGTATACCATACAAGGCTAAGGAAAATAGAGTAAGAATGCTTCGCTACTCTGGGGAAGAGCATGGCTCATGCAATGCAATGCGACGGGGATGTCCGATGGATCCTCCACGAGATCACAACGTACGTTATAGGCTATACGGGCGGTCGGTGCCCTCATAGTCACCTGATGAAGAGGTTAAGTATACATAATCCGTACACCCTCGTACGCCGATCGTGCATCTGAGAACAGACCAGATCGTGAACAGTCCCTTTCTCGTTTTCACTAAATCGGCGATATGCGGTCTCCACCTCACTAGAACTATTTTGTGTCGCCGCAGAGATTCACGAGAACTACTCAGTAGCGTACTAGACTTAGTAGACACCATAAGAGCCCCCTGATGGGTAAGTCATGGACTTCGTACTTGTAATACTGTGTATTGGATAGGAATCGATCAGATAAACGTTCGCAATTCAACCAATATGTCTCTCATTCACCGCTTGTTCTTAAAATCATTTGTACCTTGCCTCACTTTTTGCTTTTTTCTGTTTGGTTGAAATAGTTTGGTTAATTTGCATTTCAATCCTGCGCAGATCTGTACTTTTTCCCCCCTCAATTTCGGAAAGTAGTTGCAGGCCAGCAGCCAAGAGATTAGAAGCTAAGAGATTGGAAAAACGTGCTGTCAGTTGACGGATCCATTTTGATCTTCCCCCTATCATTCTCGAGCAATATACTCCCTTGAGCCTATCGGAAGCCAGACTAGCATTGCCGGGTTTATTTCACATGTAATGGTCAACCGAAACTCTTGTGGCTTTCGAATACTACACGAAACTTTGTCATGATCACCGTTAAGCTATTAGCATTAGGTCAATGCGTTGAGTCGCGGCCCTTCTCTTCACGGAAGTATAGTATGCACACCATAATTGCCTTCCCGGCTCTTCCGTCGAGGCTATCAACTTCGTTTTTTACCGGGGCTTTTAAGCTGGCAGCTATCCCATATAGAGGACTATGATCGGCATTAGGCCTAGGCCTTTCGGGGACTCTCGTCGGCCTCGAAAGTAAAAAATTGGGAGACAAGAAGCAATGCGAACAAAGAAATCAAGCCACAGGCGGAGATCTTATAAATATTAGAATTACTAGCAAGGATGTTTGCGGCACGGGAAGTAATGGCAAGGGGAACATGCCAATCGGAATGTCATCGAAATAAATTGTTATGCAGGCATCCTCGGATCTGTACATGGTAGGGTCTGTTAGGTCCGGGGGCGATAAGGAGTCGCATGATGCCGCATCAATCTTCTATTCCGTACTGAAGTAGCACGACTTGGCTAGTTAGGGGCTGATTGGTCTGACATCATCAATCCTTTATACGGAGTATGAGAACGCAATTTGTGGCTTTCTTCAGGTTGGAACAGTAGGTGAAAACGAGCAGACTGCTTTGTTGTATATTGGCTTTTATTTCCACACAACCATAAAATATTTGAACTTTTGCGCTCATGAAAAAAATCGATAATCATAACAATATGGACTGGTCGCTTCAAAGGGCCAGAATTCCCAAAGGTGCCAAGAATATCAGAAAGACCCAATGGCCGTTCGCCTCGTGCGTGCCCCTGGGCTGAGCTGGTGTAACCCCTGAAGCCTAACTCGAGCTCATCAATCAAGTCAAGCTATACCTTAAGACGCAAGACCAATATCAGCAAGGCTATGCATGACTGCCGATTTTGATGTCAAAAGGTAGACTCAAGACTTTCCCCTAATTATCTTGCCGTGAACGAGTCTATCCAACCACGCTCGGATCCGGTGGCGTACGGATGTCCCAGAAACCTGTCATATCGCGGAGGCGTAAAGACATGCTGGCACAGACCACCCCAGCGCTTGGATCATCTCGCCGCTTCGGGCTATGAGTGTCAAGGAGTTGGCATAAATCCTTTACCGCTTGACGATCGACACTGTAGCTGGTCAGCTTTGAAATTCATGTTGAGTTTTCTTCTTTTTTTGGTATATTTACCGATATCTTCATCGCCAAGCTCGTGCGAAAGACCCACTCGCTGCGGCTGATGCTTCACTGAGCGACCATACACGATAGCGTGCTTGAAATCGTCCTTGATTGTGCGGTGAATAGCGTCACACTGTTTCGTTAGTATGATTCTTAGAAAGATGAGGGCAAGGCTTACGAAATTCTCGACTGTGCATGCATAAGAACGCAGCACAACAGGTGCTGAATAGTCAGGCGCTCTGCCCTTAGGCTTCGTGTAGATTCTGCGCAGCTTGAGCTTCTCCCACATCATCTCCATCAGCTCGTCGATATTCCATCCATGCTCCGAGCTAATTGGGCAGGCGTCTGGAATCCGGTACAGCAAATCCAACTCTTGGATGGAAATAGCGTCGATCTTGTTCAGCGCATAAATGACAGGGATGTAGCTGCGGCTCTTGGCTTCCAAGACATCAATCAGGTCGTCAATGGTGGCATCACATCGGATGGAGATATCAGCGGACGAAATCTTATACTCGCTCATCACAGCTTTGATTTCCTGGGATCTGTTAGTACTCATCAAAGACCAAAGACTCTGTGGGAGATCAACTTACGTCGTTGTCAATATGAGTCAATGGCTGAGTGCTCGTGATGGCAATACCACCCTTGTCCTTCTTCTTGAAGACAATGTTGGGAGGCTTCTTATTGATGCGAATGCCAAAGCCCTCCAATTCATTCTCGATAACTCGCTTGTCAACCAATGGCTTGTTCACGTCAAGGACGATGAAAATGAGATTGCAAGTCTTGGCCACCGCAATAACCTGTCGACCACGACCCTTGCCGTCTTTGGCACCTTCAATAATACCTGGAAGATCGAGCATCTGAATCTTGGCGCCATTGTACATCACTTGACCGGGGACAGTTGTGAGGGTTGTGAACTCGTAGGCCGCGGCTAGAGGGCGTTAGAGAAATCGGTTGTCAAGGAGAGTCTTTACTAACCTTCTGAATGTTGACCAGTCAGTTTATTCATCAGTGTACTCTTGCCAACGGACGGGAAACCAATGAAGCCACTGCACTTGTAAGCGTATGCGATCGCAAATCTCCTCGGGTAACTTACACACTGGCCACACCAGTACGCGCCACATCGAAGCCAGCTAATCTCAAGTTAGCACCTAGCAGAGTGTTCAGATCTTGAATACTCACATCCACCACCGCCACCACCTCCAGTCGGGGTCAGAAGTTCACGCTTGAGCTTAGCAAGCTTCGCCTTCAGTTGTCCTGCATATTGTCAGAAGACGTCATCGGTGAAAAGTCGTCGGTGTGCGCGTACCCAAATGATAAGAGGTGTTCTTGTTCTTTTGAGTCCGAGCCATTTCGGACTCGACCTCCTTGATCTGTACAAAATCATTGTTAGTAATTTGTTTGATGCTATGCTCAAAAATCTTTGACCGCACTCACCTTTTCAATAGTGGTCGACATTTTGGCGATTTGACCCAGCAATCAAAAATGAATCGAAGAAAAGATTGGAAATCCTAGTACCGAGGGACTCGATATATGTCCCTTAACAACCAGCGAGTTGAGCGACAAGTTTTGAAGAAATGCACTTGCGACCCGTGGACAATCTTGTGGCACCGCAGTTTTTAGTCAGGGCGGGGTGTGCGCCTAAGGCGACGAGGGCAAGTATGTCATTGCCAGCCTGAGGCATCATTTCTTATCGCTATCGCCAAATTGCAACATGGGCAACTACATACCTCCAGGGCTAGGTAGGTACTGTGGACATTGAATTACTCTACTTGGCCTCAAATTTCATAATGGAAATACACGGCTTGTGTATACTCATATCCTAGTTTGTATCTCGCTGTGGTGGACCCTCGATTTCGTCATTCGGCCAACTTCCGATACCGCTTCTTTGCTGCATAGACTTTATCCCAAACGCGCCCAGCACAACGCTCATTCAATATGCCATTCCTCAACGGGTCTGAGTTGATCACCGAGAAACCTGCCTTTGAGAAGCTCGTGGAGGATCTTAGTTCTGCGCTAGGTCCAAGCTCGGGTCTGGATTCTAGCGATGTCGATCCCATGGAGATACAGCTGTTGATGGAGAAATACGTCTCGAATTCGTATGAATGGGCTTCATATGCATTAGGTGATGCGAGTAGGACATACACAAGGAATCTGATTGATGAGGGAAATGGCAAGAGTAATTTGGTATGGAAATTGTCTCCCTCCAAATGATTGCTTGACTAACTCGTTCAGCTGATTCTTGTATGGAGCCCTGGAAAAGGAAGTACAATTCATGACCATGCCAACGCACACTGCGTGATGAAGGTATGTTCTTTTTAATTCGATACACGAGTAGAAGCTGATTTGAAATAGGTCCTAAAGGGCAAATTGCAAGAAGATCTATACTCATGGCCCGACCAAGAGCAGATCGAGAATGGCCGAAGCTCACCACCTCAGCTCATCAAGCAGACAACCTACAGCGAAAACCAGGTCACCTACATGTCCGACAAGCTTGGTCTGCATCGGGTATCCAATCCGGACCAGGACAACTTTGCTATCTCACTCCATCGTATGTTCTCTCGTGTCGAAATGAACAGAATCCAGACTAATTGATCAGTTTATACACCACCCAACGCCGCAATCCATGGATGTCGCATTTACGATGAACGAACTGGCGAGGCCATGCACATCAAGCAGACCAACTATTATTCGTTCCGCGGTCAGCGGCTCGATGATGGACAGAAGTAGTCTTGTCGATGCCCGTTATCAATAACGCTCATTGTGGGGTGTTCACCTTGTACATTACCTAAGTTTGCCGAAGTCATAGCCCCTATTTTGGTAGCTGAGACTGTTCCCTTCGGATACCCCTCTTGTACTTTTGTTCAATTACATATTCTTCTCCGACTTTTATTCATTATTGAAAGGCGTTCTGCGCCGTGATTGGCAAAGGAAATCTTATTTCTGGCATGTCATTTACTGGGACTTCTTGGATTTCTGTATTTTTTTTGCTTTTGGTCATAACTCTATTCAGAAGAACAGTCACTCATATGTAGGCCCGCTTGCTCTACATGAAAGCCTCAACATTCAGCTCTAGAGTACTGACTGGGTACTTCAACTCGTACTTCTCGAGCACGGTAGGGTGCAGAATACCGAAGGAGCCAATGACCTGGTCCTTGCCACCAATACAGACGTGGATGGAAGCAGCGTGGCCGGGGAAGTAAGTGGGATCTACACTGTTAGCGAATTTCTTAGTCTGTTTCGAGGAGGTACACACCGTCTAGTTCCTTGATATAGTACGAGTCGCCCGTAGGGGTCTCGCCCTCGACGAGGAAGTTGGTCTTAAGCATGGCCATGATACGATCAAGAAGACCGTGGACAATTTCAAACCCGCTAGTTTTACCATAGAAGGCAGCAGCAAAGTGTCTCTCGTTGCGGCTCTTGCGCTCCAGGGACAGATCCTTAAAGGCAACATCGCTGACCTCGAAGATCTTCATGGGAACAGAGTGGTGCTTGTTCTCACGGATGGTCTTGAGCAGACCCGGGAGCAGGCTGGTACGGACCACCTGGAACTCAAGGGTCTTGGGGTTAGCCAGCTTGACAGCGGTGTTTCCGTCATCCTTGCGGTTCAGCCAGCCAAAGTTCTCATCATGCGAGCACAGAATCAACGGTAACACCTCTGACCAACCGGCCATGGCAGTCTCCACACGAACAATGTCGGAAAGCTTGTTGATGGGGAGAGGTTGGGCGACTGTGCCAGAGATGTCGGGGAACGCACGGGGCAGCGAGTTGAAGCCGTAGGCAATGGCCACATCCTCCATGATATCACACTGGTGGAGTACATCGGCACGGGTTGGGGGGATTTCCACATTGATGATGTCTGAGACAGTGGTAGAAGGCTTGGCGCGGAAGGCCATCTTTGTGAGAAGAGTACAGATCTCTGCCGGGCTGAGGCTCAAGCCACAGCACTGGTTGATGTACGAGACTTCAGCCTGAGCGATGCGGGGAGAGATGTCAGGGGTGACGCGAGTCTCCCCGTTATGCTCAGACACAATCTGGACAGGCTCGATGGTGAACGGCTCCAACGTATATTGGGAGAACATGGTGACCATCATCTTGTTCACAATATCCAGCTTTGTCTTATCGAGAGCCGTGATCTCAATTAAAACATTGGTGGTGTTCAGGTTGATCTTCGAGTGATCGCCGTTGATAATGGGTGGCAGAGAGCAAACAGTCCGGTTGGAGTCGTAGATGACTGGATAGACTGGAGAGTCACGAATGATGTGTAGGTACTTGCCCAACTGTTGGTGCTTCTCGTAGAAGTTCATCAATTCCTCGCCATCCATCTCCTGGGTCTGGTTCAATGGGACAAACTTGATATCCTTGGGAGGGAGAGCCTCATAAGTGAAGGGGCCCTTCACGGTGTCCAAATCATGGGTACCGATTGATACAAGGGTTCGTTGCCGGGCCAAGTTCTGGTGGAGCTTGTCTTGGAGAGCAATGAAAGACGCATAACGAGCCTGGTCGAACTTGATGTTCCGTAGAATAGCGCCAGCTACGTAGGGTCTGATTTTCGTGGTCTATTTTGATCAGCGGAGCCCTTCCACCTGAGCAGAGTAGGTGTTGAAGTACTAACATCTTCCTTGACAATAATCCGCTCCATCTGTGCTGGCTGAGTCAACTTGTACTCGGGCAGGGGTTTCTGACCCAGGAAGATGTTCAACATGAGCGCAATGCCCTCGAAGCACAGCAAGTCATATCTGATCTCTTCTTAGTCTAGGTTCTTTCATTTGTTCTCCTCGGATGTCACGCGTACCGGTTGGCGGGGATCTCAATCTTGAGTTGCGGAGGTTCTTGCTTTCCATCGACGATAGGGCGGTCTGAGTTTGTAGTCTGAAAAGATCAGTATTGGCTATGTGTGGTCGGGTCTCAGAGAATGTACATCTTCGTCGAGCTCGATTCCTATTCAAAGTCAGTCATGCCCGGCAAGAATTTCCCAGCCAACCTACCAAATTCGAAACACAGCTCATCAAACTCCTCCGTGGTATAACTGCAGCAAGGTCAGTAGAGTTCAATGACAAAGTCCAGAGACGTACTCTCGGCCCAACTCTTGGAAAAGAGCGGCCTTGTCGACCGAGATGGTGGGCATGGTGGGGGTTGCTGATTCTGGTGTCAATCAGCGAAATGTCCGATAAATCAATGCGGAAACCAAGTAGGCGACTCCGACAGAATATAAAGAAAGCCCGTACAGAAATCCAGGAAGTAGTGATCGGTGCACAAAGTATTGGATGACTCTTGCGCTGGTGGAAATTCTGCCCGCAAGCCACCACCGCCACAGATCCCCCTCTTTTGTGACGATAGTATTGGTATAGTAATCCCCCTCCATATTCAAATGTTTGTGCGTACACCGCCAGTATGTAATTTACACCAGTAAACACTCAAAGCTCGACTGCCCTGCTCTGGTTGCTGCATCATCGAAGGGGGCTTTTTTCCTTTTCTCTTTACGAACTTGTATCGAATCTATTAATTTGCTGATCAAGGTACTCATTCAATTCTCGAGGTATGCTTCTGCTGAAGGTGTCCATGCGGCCCCAAACCCCCGCCCTCACGCTACCACCATTCATCCCCTTGCCATCTCGCGAAGTCGGAACTAATACTTATCAGCCACCCCATTGCCTCCTACACCACCTCTGCCGAATCGCTGTCAGGTCCAACACCACCCTATTCTCATTCAGGACCGGGACTCAGCGTGTCTCCTTAATAAATATCCAAATCCACAATGGAAGGCCAGAACGAGAACGATGAGCTCTACCCCATCGCCGTGCTCATTGACGAGTTGAAGGTAGATCTCCCTCCAGTCATACAGACAATATTGAGCTCACATTTCTTTAGCATGACGATGTGCTTCTCAGACTCAATGCCATTCACCGTCTATCCACGATCGCGCTTGCACTTGGACCCGACCGAACCCGAGAGGAGCTCATCCCATTTCTTGATGGTTTGTCCAGTGTTCAATCGCCTAGCAGCCCCGTCTAACAGTAATAGATTCCGTCGAGGACGAGGACGAAGTTTTGACTGCGCTGAGTGAAGAGCTGGGTAATTTTACAGAATATGTTGGGGGTCCAGAACACGCGCACGTCTTGCTCTCCCCGCTAGAGAATTTGGCGGCTATCGAGGAGCCCTTGGTGCGGGAGAAGGTACCACACCAGCTGAAAGTTTCTTGAGGCGCATGCTGACTTTACAGGCCGTTGAATCTCTCAACAAGGTATGCGAGCAGCTTTCAGAGAGCCAAGTTGAAGAGTATTTTGTTCCGCTAGTCCTCCGTCTCTCAAAGGCAGACTGGTTCACTTCGAAGGTCTCTGCGACTGGTCTTTACTCCACACCATACAAGAAGGCTACTCCGGCGTTGCAACAGAGCCTCCGACAGCATTTCGGGGCTTTGGTACACGATGAAACCCCAATGGTGCGGCGACAGGCAGCCAACAATCTGGCCAAGTTTGTCAAAGAAATGCAAACCCAGGT